GTGGGAATAAAGAACCCAACATTTTCAAATTGTTGAGCAGTCCTGTGCTTTTCTGATGCTTCCAAGGCACATTAGTATAAACACAGCTGTGAAGAGAAGGTAATAGCCCAGAGGTTTCTGTCCCATGATTTTGCCTGAAGGGAGGAGATAACCCAGTGGATGTGGGAACTGCCAACAGTCTTTAGCTCTGGAAATGTCTTTGTCCTCCCAAGTTCTCCCATCAGAGTTAGTGCAGCCAGCAGGTGTTCAGATGGTTGGCACTTGTGTGTGTCCCTTGTCACTGCACCTCTGAAGGGATGCAGTTGTTCCAGACAAAGTGAAGAAGCTTATTCTGAAGGGGTGTTTTTTGTTCTGGGAGCCAGCAGCACCCACATTGCTGGCTTCAGCCGTTCCAGGTTTGTGATTTTAACAGAAGCAGGGGGGAAATTACATCCCAAACTTTCACAGAAATTAGTTGTATTTGAAATGCAGTTTTTTCTTCCTCATTTTGTAGCTGTGCTAGAAAGTCATTACACATGGATTTATTTTTCCTTATCTCTTGGGGGATCGTTGGCTTCCTTCCTTCCTTCCTTCCTCCTTCCTGGATGAATTTATCCAGTGTTCTGATTGCAGCTCCTTCTTTTTTTTATCACCTCCTGTCTATGTGGCTTAAGATTTTGTATGTTTAACATAACTGAGCTGAGTATTTTGCAGCAGCTGAGAGCAAAGATAATATTCCACTGATTGATGTCGTGGTTACAGTAAATATATTTGCAGTCTACTTGCTTTGGCTATTTGCAGTTTTGGCTACAGACCTGCCTTATTTTATTTTTCCTTGTATTTAGTTTGGGTGGGTTTTTTTGCCCTTGTATTTTATTTCATTTTTGCAACTGAACCATGTATTAATCTGACTTTGGAGAGGGGAAACGAAGACAACATTTTAGCTTTTAAGAAATTTCCACAGAGATTCAGACAGCTGGTCAAAGATAAATCCAGTATGCAAGCAGGGTCATGAGTATCTTAGAAAACAGCCATTTAAAATACCATGGCATCAAATGTCTCTCTCAAATGTTTTTTTCTTTGGTCTGCACTTGGAATTTGATTGCAGGGTATTGGTTGTTTCTGGGCACATGCACAGGCAACCAACAGCAAGGAAACAGACAAAAAGTATTTTAGGTAGGTGGTGAAGGGAAAGTGATACTATATGGTTTTTAAACAAAACAAGTCTGTAAGTTGTATGAGACTGTGACCATTGTCCTGCAAGGGCTGATGATTAGAATGAGGAGGTCATCATCTTTCCAGCACTGAGCTGCCTTTTTCTGTAGGGAGTGAGGGTGAGTTTGGTATACCTAGAATGTGGTGATTAAACTAGGAGGAAGTTTTTAAGGCTTTCTGTGGCCTAGAAGAAATTAACATTTTTGTTGAAACATCTTTAATTTGGTTATTAAGGTCAATTGTATGTTTTGTGTTAGTTTGACATTTAGTCTACAAAAGTTTTAAAGCATTTTATATTGAAATTGCATCTGCTTAGAGACTTACCCCAAAGCCTGAATCCTGTGTGAGTCACAGAGTGCTGTTTTGTTTTGTTCTGCATATATTCTTCCTCCACAGTAGAGCGATTTCCCCATAATTATTATTGAAATAGGGCATTTTAAAACACAAAATAGGTATCAACACAGCTTTACATCAGAATGATGGTGATGTGTGATATGAAACAGTTTGGGTTATTTCAGTGCAAGTGTCTACATATACTAGCTGCTATAGCATGATAATCAATTGTTGAAAAATAACCCTTTTAGGAGTTGTATAGACAAACCCTGGCTGCTTGCCTGAAGAGAGAAAGATGATTAATTTAAATACTAAACACCAGTTGAGATGATTAATTCTTAATGAAGTCAGTGGAAAACTGATTTTTCTTGTATTCCCTGGAAGATCCTTTCAAAAGCCTTCCGTTTCCAGAATCGTTTTTTGTCCCGTGTTTATGGCACAGGATGTGACTTTGTTCACAGCAGGTAGGTTCATTAGTTGGCATTTCTAATATAGTATCCAGCTGTGGAAAGCTTATAAAATACTGGTATTTAGGTCATCTTAATTAGGCCTTGAAATAAAGATTTAAGATAAAGTGGAATAATTGTACATCCTTCATTGCAGCTGAGCTTCTTCAGTGAAAAGAGGATGTGATTCCTGGACAGTATGAACTGATTTCAACAGAGTTGCTCCAAATCCACCTCTCTGGTGCTCCTTTGACAGTGCTGGGAGTTGAAGTGATTAAAACTAATAATTCTGGGAAGAGCTGAAAGATGTGGCAGTTTTCAGCTGGGTTGGGGGCTGGGCTGGATATCTTCGCTCTCACTGCTGCCTTTATGTGCCAGTACCTTTATGTGTGTTTTCTTCCGTTCTTCCTGGATGGGTTTATCCAAAGTTATGCTTGTATCATGCCCTAGTTGAGAGGGAGTTCAGGCATCAGTGCTCCTCTCCCCAGTTTGGGTGAACAAAGAGTTCCCCCAACTCCTTTGTGCCAACTCGCCATGTAAGGTACCCAAAACTCTGCAAAAGCAGTACTGGTGAGAATTGGTGTGAGGTTTCATGCCGAGAGGGGTGGCAGTGATTCCCATCCAGCCTATGCTGCATTTTGAGGTTAGCAGGCAAAAATGAGGAGGCAGCATCCCTGGTGCTGGGTTTAAAAAGTTGAGAGCAGTGAGGGGAGGCAGAGGACCCCAGCAGGCAGCTGGGTGACCAGCTGGTGAAATGCAGTTGTGTGTGCTCCTGCCACCCACTGCATCTGCCCTAACAACAGATGCAAATGTAGGATCTTCAAACCTGTGTCCGACAAACTATGGGCAATGAAGTTGAGGATGGTGAATAACTTTGGGCAGGGAGACTCTTGGAAAAAGGCTGCAGTGGCAGCTGGAATATGCACCTGGTGCTGTACAGGCACCTGGCATCTACAGGAGCTGCAGCATGACTAATTTGATACATTTAGTATGAAGAAGGGGGCAAGGTTGTACCATTGTTTATTTCCCTTTGACTAACAACATGCCAAGTATGTTTTTGGTAACACCACGCCACAAGATGGGAGCATGCCATTATTTGTGTTATTAAGCTAATGATGTATAAAGAAGTATTAAAAAGCCAGCAGCTATCATCTGCCACGTCATCTACCAATGGTGGTGGTAGTTGAAACTTCCAGCTTTTGCTTATGGATCAGTGAAACTGAAAAAGCAGGAGGAGCTCCTCCTTCTGATGTGAATTTCTCCCAATAAGAGCATTCCTATGTCCCCTCTGATTATGGATGGAGCTGTGGGAGCACCCATGGGTGCAGGAGAAAGGTGTTTGGTCTCTTCTTCCTTGTCTATGCCAGCACATTCTGAAATGCAGACTCTTTTTTTTAGCATTTTGAAGGTGTATCTTATCTTGCACCAGATCTTCTAAAATCCTAGTTTAGCCAAAGCCTGAGGGGATTTAGGTTTGCATATTTTTCCTAAGAGGATTATGCTTCACACTTAGTTGATCTATAAATTGTTTGAGGTGTTTTCTATGATTTTCTAAGGACAGAAGGAGCTGCATGCACATTCAAATTGTCTTGAAATGCATTGTCTGTGGGTTAGTGATGGAAATTTGGTGTTTGAATTAATAACAAATGGAATCACTGAACCTTGGGGTTATTTTGAACTGAAAAACATTTTGGTAATCAGATTTGCAGCACGGCTGCAGGAACAGTTGTAGCAGCACAACTGGAGGGGCAAGGAAATTGCAGGAAGGATTAGAAACTGCTTACACTACCAACGGAGAAAACAATTGATTGTAAAAATACAGCCCAGAAATAAATTAATGAGCACCTTTCAAGCATATAGGAGTGCTCATGACATTCTGGAAACTCTGCTTGCAGATCAAGGAAGTAAGGCAGCTCAGTGGGAACTGGGCAAGAAATAGCGATACAAGAAATAGGGATAGTCTTTGAAAACTTTTGTCATTCATACTCATGAAGTCACTGGCGAGGTGCTCTGTGCCTGAGCCATGGCCCTGGGGATCGATGGGTGCTGGCATAGCTCCTGCCAGCCGGGTGCTGGGGCACAGTGCCACGGCTCTGCTGGCTGTTGCAGCTGTTTTGACGCCCATCGACGACGGAGTAGCTCCAATGATTGCCAGCTTAATTTCTCTTTGTGTGCCTGCGGGTGGGCTGTGTCTTACACATTCATTTATGGTATTTACAGTGGTTTTGTGGAGGGTTGGGTGCAGTTCTTGTTTTGTGCTGCTGTCAGGGTGTTTGGAGGTTGTGCAGCAGCAATGGCTGCTAGAACAAAGCCTGTACTGGGGCATCTTCCCTGCCTGCTGGAACAGCCAGAAAAGCTGTAATGCTAAGATTTCCATAATTATTTCTTTGAAGGTGGAGGAAGGATATGGCTCAGACATAGGAAAATGGTTTAAAACAGAGCTTATCTTCAGCTGTGTTGCTCATGGGGATGGTCAGCGCTTCTGTTCAAACTGCTGCTTTATAACCAGTGTTGCTGGCACATCATCTTTCATCTCACTTGAGACACTCCTCACAGGAGTGATGAGATGAACATCATGGAGAAACAAGTGGCACTTACTTAGTAGAAAGTGCAAGGGGCAAAGAGAAGTGCCCCTGTGGCAGTGTGAAGGACAGGCAGTCTCTGTGGATCTATGTCTGCATTATTTTGTCAGAGCTCTCTACTTGTAGCATTGCCAGCTGTACTGCAGCATATGTGGGACTGTGTTAGATGAGTGTTAAACCCTTGAAGGAAGGGGAGCACAAATTGAGGAGGAGCTGTTGCAAAGCTGAAACTTCTGCTTTGCTGTAGCAGCTTGCATGGAGTAAGTTTGCTTCTGGGTGGAATCAAACAGATTAAGATAAGCAGAACGGAACAAAATTTATTAATATCCCAAGGTGTGGCTTGGCTAGTGGAGGGCGGTTTGTGATCTTTACTCAGTAATAGCTCTGAGGACTTCCTTGTGCCCTCTAATCAGCAGTGATGTTTTGTGTTCTGCTTTCTCTGCAGACGTCGGCTGATCTCCCAGCGATCCTCTCTGGAGACTCTGGAGGACATCGAGGAAAATGCCCCACTGCGGAGGTCATTTTATTTACTCTCTCTCTGGCTTCTTGTCTGTAAAGCACGTGCATGGGCAGTCTCCCTCCTCATGTTGAAAAGTAGCTGGGTCTTCACATTAAGATATTCTTCATAGTGAGTAAAAGTGTCGAAACTTCACATGCCCTGTAAGGTGGTGGCTGATATGAATTGCCCATTCCCTGGCTTTAGGTCATTAAACAAAAAGGCAGTATTTAGATGAAATGTCAGGAATTAAAATGCCAGATTTGATTAATAGAAAAGTTTTGTTGTCACCAATATGAATGACTAGCCCCGAGTCAGTAATACTCTAACATCTGTGGTACATTTAAAAAGTATGTACAGATGGTTTAATACAGTAAGTTTTTGAAGGCTGGTATTTTTAATGAATTTTTACTGTCTATTCTCTCAGCGCATGCAAACTTATTTTGGTTACCAGCATTGCTGTCTGTGTGTTGGCTGGTAGGTTTGTGACTGCTACCCCACTAATAAAACTGCTCCCATCCTTGTTGTATTGGCTGCTTAAGTGTGGTTTGATTTGTGCATTTGGGAGACCACAGCTTCCTCCTCTGGGGACCACAGTAATTAGTCGCTAGGCAATCCTCTGGGGTGATGGAAAATGGAGCAACTGCTTAACAGTTCAGAAGCTGGCTGGTCAGTAATCTGACCAGTGCATGGAATGCTTCCAGCTCAGCTGTTCGGCAAGACAGCAGCCTAAGTTTGACTGCCTCTTTATCTTAGGACCTGTAATTCAGCTGGTTTATATTGGTGTTGAGCTTACAGCCTTGTTTATCCACATGCAGATTGGCTGTCTCTCCTTTACCTCGAAGCAAAGAATAGCAGAGGCTGTACCAATTGGCCTATTACCAAAGCTTGATTATTTTTACTAAGCTCACTGTTGCATGCTTACCAGCATGTTATGAAGTGTTCCCATAAGTGATTCAAACATGTATAATTGGTAAAAGATATAAACAAAGTATGGTTTGCCAAGCAGTATTTTTGCTTGCTAATTTGCAGAATTGGTGGTAGAATGTCTCTCTTGGTGCCATTTTCCTGTGAAGAAGCTAACAAGGCTAATTGCAATCAGAGGGTGAGGGAATCTCAAGGCCTTTACTAGCCGGAGGGAGGCAGAAATGGTGAAGTGATGGGGTACCCCTCTTGGGGTGTGCCTGTGCAGCACGATGGTGTTTGGGTACAGTGGTAGGGACTGGCACATCGGTGTGTGGTTTCAGTCCAAGATAATGACCTCATGGGCTTGAGGAGCTGCTGAACTCTGCCTGTGCAAGGAGAGGATGGAAAAGATAGCTTAGGGAAGCTCACCCATGCACGGGCAGAGGATGCTGGTCCTGTAGGTGCCACGGAGGATGCAGCAGCCACGGTCCAGCCCTGGCTGTGCTGAGAGCACAGGACTCATCTCCAGTGCCTGCGAGCTCTGCCTCGCCCTGCAACAAAACAGCCCTGAGATGAAACAGAGAACGCTTTCACATGCGCTGTGGTTTCAGCTGATTAGAAAGAGCAAGGGTGGAAGGCAGGGGGAGGATATTGCTGTTTGTCTCATCTCTCCTCCCTCTGGCTATTTCTTTCTGTAACTGCAATTTATAAAGCGCATTCAGATGTAAAATAGATTTAAGGCTTAATGTTTTGAAGAATGATTATTTTTTTTCCTGGGGTAGTTTATTTTATTTTATTTTCAGTTGTTTTTTTATACTGTCAGGAATGTGAAAAGTAATATTTAGAGTTAAAATCAAATAGGAATTATCTTTGCAAATAGGAGACTTTAAATCTTTCTAAAATTAAAACAAGAAAGAACTTCCCTCAAGGGCTCCTTTATCAATAGCTGAGGAGCATACAAAAGCGTGGGTGTTGGTGCGAGTGGGGAAAATTGCATATTTACTAGGTTTTGGTTTGGTTTAATTTTTTTTTCTTCTGAAAGCTTGGGCTAAGCTGTCATGGCAGATTACAGGAAGTTTTACTTTGCTGAGATTTTTTTATGATTTTTTTCTTTTGGCATGAAGGGAGGGGTATGGTGCCTTTTCTCATTATTATTTTAAATATTTTTTTTTCTTTGAGCTGTCGCGTTTCCAGACTTATTGTCTTTATTGTTCTTGCTGATTCCTAACACAGGGTGACTTGAATCATTTGTCTCGTCTTTCCTTCCTGCTTTTGTGTAGACTTCTTGGCGGTACAGCAGGGAACTGAGAACTTTTTTTTCCTTCTCCCTCCCCTCCCTTGCAACTGATTTATTTTTCAGATGTCGGACACTCTCAGGATCACCCAGACCAAAGAACTTTAAGAAGGTTCATTTTATCAAGAACATGCGGCAACACGACACCCGGAACGGCAGGTACTGTGCATGCAGAGGCTGCTTCTGCAGAGGCAACCCATGGGATGTGAGGGAAAGGGGCAGGATCAGCAGGATCAGCATCCCCCTGCAACAGCACAGCCATTGCCACTCACCACCTAATGGTCTTGCAAATAATCTCTGAGGGTGCAGGCTGCAGTGCATGCTCCGTCCCCCAGGGAAGTATGTGTCAATGGAAGTGCTAGCCCACAGATTTCAAGACCTCCTTAATACAAATATCCTGCAAAAAAGGAAAATCTGTGATGGTGTTGGGTCAAACTAGGCATAATCTGGTTGCGTTTCTTCAAGGATGTTGCCAGGTTCTAAGTGTGAGAGGGTCACACAGCTGAACCTGCCTGGACCAAGTTTAGCAATGGTTCAAGGATACTACCAGCATCTCTTAGTGGATATGGCATGCTGCTAAATGCACAGCCAGGGATCGTTGTGGCAAGATGAGGCATGGGATCCTGGTTTCCATGGCAGATGTAGGCAGAGTGGCTTCCAGGGGATGTGTGAGAGGTGCACCTGTGTCTGCAGCACGCCCTGAACTGGGATGTGCCCAGGTTACAGCCATAGGCACTGGTGGGACCTGTACAGCAGCCACTGCCTGAGACCTGGCTTACTGCAAAGGCCTATTCCCATCAGCTGAAGGTGTATCCATCAGCAAAATGGTTGAATAGGTTGAATAGGTTGCATGTAGGCTAAACTATCCCAGTGAGAGTTGACCCTTGCACTTGCCTGTTCTCATAAAACCGAGGACCGTGGCTGAGAACCATGTATGCTCTGTTGGACTGATTTGTGCCTGTAGCCTTTGCCATCAGACATGGAACCGTGTCAGTAGAAATTCTAACACTGCATTGAACCACATTTATGAATTGAATTCTGATAGGTGTTACACTGTTATTCTCACACATACAATTGAATGCAGTGAAAGGTAGTAATCAACATGAATGTTGTGCAAGGTGGCCCTGAGAGATTTTAGAAACAGCTTTTACATCCAGCTTTAGTATCAAACAGACACATGCAGAACTATTGAACTATTGACTATTGTCTGACTAGCTGCTGATTATTGTCTTTATAAGAAATACATGTGGAATCAAACACTGAAAAGCAGCCCTTTAATTTTAGTCCATTTTGAGCATAAGTAGATATATGCTCTGAGAATTACTCACAGAAAAATATACTTACATGGTATTATGGAAATTCCACAGAGAACAATTTCTGAGATGTGTATATAAAATCTATGCATAAACTTGATAGAAATCATACCTGCAAAAGAATGAATAAATATTTGATTTGTAAACTCCTTTCTTGATGTTTTGCAAAGAAGTATTTGTAGCATATATGCAATATTTTACCTTAATTCAAAGATCAGTCATTGTCTGACAATATAACTGAATACTTTTCTTGCTAAGAAAGCTGTGAGAAAGCTTCTGTTATTCAACTGGCTTCTTATCTTTATCCGCAGACACAGTTTTCCAGAATATTTCCACAATCATAATAAAGATCTCTTTATCTAGAATACAAATACAATAAGAATGAGAGACATAATTTTGGCAATAGTTTTCATCCTATAGTCGTAGAGCCACAGTGATGCTAACTAAAAATAAAATGCAGAGTTAAAACACTTTGTGTCACCCCTATGTCTAGCAGTAAGTAATTTGAGTGCAGACTGTTTTTCCCAGGGATGTGGATGTAGTCACTGGAGTTAATAGGCATTCTGGATTAAAAGGACCTCTAGAAATACAGGTGGCTGTGCTTTGTATATTCATCCGAAAATCAACAGTGGTTTTGAGTACGTTAGGACCTTTGAAGCTGGTGCCCTTTCCAGCTGCCTGTGACACAGAGGAGCACAGGTGTTGTAATGGATAGCAAACACTCCTGGGGCTCCTTTCCATGCCTGAGCCACCTTGTCCCAGGTGGCTCATGCATGGTTATGCAGGCTAAAGATGCTGAGCTGGGCTGGAGTCAGGCCCTGAGCTCCCTCTGAAAACCTGACCCTTCTGTCACAGCATGTCAGTCTTTCACTTAAGATGAGGAGCCCACCTTTGAAAACATCTACACGGAATATATTTTTGGGTGGTGAATTTGGTGACTGGGCTTTAAGATAGCCAGTACTTTCAGAAGGTGTTTCACTGGCTTGTGACTGTGTCACAGCAAAGAAAACTGCAGTGTGAATGATAGCTCAGGGCTCCTCTCTCAAGTAGCTGCTCTTGTTTGTGTCTCTCAACCTGTAAGGTGATGTGTCTTTGTCCTGTGGCACTGAGAGCTCTTCCCCTCTCAGCCTCAGGCGTGACATGTGTTGAATAAAGATGCTCTGGGTCCAGCCTTTGGCAGTCCTGCAGCAAGACAGGACCTGCTGTGGTTAAAATAAGAGTTCAGCTATTTAGCACAGAGAAAAAGCTCATATAGAAAAATACACAGACTGGAGCTTAATCAGTGAGTCCTTGTAAAGTTTCCTGTTGATAGTTCTGATCACTAGTTAAACTGGTTTCCTTGTATTTCTAAGTTGTGGCTTATTAAAGGAGTTGGAAAATTAGGGTTCCTAGACTATGCTAGCAAAGCAGTCTTGTAAAACAGCAGAAAATACATTTTCCCATTTAAAGACAAGTAAACCCTGACATATATACTAGCACAGTTAGGCACCAGCGTATGGTTTTACCCACTTTTCTGTGGGTTTTACCCACATCAGGTTTATTGGTGATATCCTCCATAAACACTGAAGCAGAGGATTAGCAAAAAAGAGCCACTGAAATGGCAACCTGAGCCAGCTGAACAAACAGTTACTGGTGAGAATGGGACAAGAAGGACTCTAGAGTTATCATATATAGCAGGTATAAAAAGCAGTAAAATGGCGTTCGTCTCCCACCCCCATGCCATTGCTTTCTCAATTTTTTTTTGTTAGCAAACACATCTGAGTGAAGCCAAACACCATCATAAAATATCTTTTGCTGCTCTCTTAATTGCACACACATGCAGACTAAGAGGTTAATGATTGGCAGCACCCTCACATTTCATAGTAACTCTCAGCCACCTTCTAATTGCCCTTGAACTTCTGAGACTCCAAAATGAGGGCTGCTACCCTGACAGCATCCATGGTTTGTGTACTACCTTTGTGTGCAGGGCAACAGAGCCCTGGCAGTCAAAAATCATCAATCAGGAATTGAGACTGAAAAGAGGAGAAAAGAGGCTGCAATATTCCACATGTGGATGGTATATATGATGTATATCGCATTGCCTGATGGCAGCCTTTTGGTGCAACACAATCAAACCTAGACAGATGCTGGGGAAAGCAGACATTATTCTTCAAGTCTATAAAATTACTGATTCTGTTGAGAGCTTCGTGCTCATTAAGGTTTTTTGCAGTATACACTTCATAAAGAAATTGGAAGATTAGCTTTTCTAGCCTTTTGCACATTGTCAGAATTCTCTTGCAAAATAATGGTTGCTCTGAACTATAATAATTAGTACAACTTTTCAGTGAAATGTGAGAATTAAAGAATGAAAACCTTTTTGTGAAGTGATTTTAAACATGTCTAGGTGGCACAATTGGAATCAAGGGATGTAAGCACTCTCACACAGCTTCTGAGATAACTGCTTCAGAGGTGTGCAGGATCTTAGATGCCCTTTGTTGAAGAGTTGAAATCCAGGAAAATACTTTTCTCCCATAAGCAATAATTTGATTTTCTTGAGCATCAATGGACTTCCACCTCAACTTCTTCTCCAAAGCTTACTTTGTGGCAAGTTTCTGGACTTTCTGCCCCAGAAAACCATTGTAGGCCTTCAGAAATTTTTTTGCTTCCATGCATGTCATGAGACCTGTACATAAAATGCCATTTTATCGCTCCATGATGAGTATCTGGCCGCTGCTTTCCCCACTTCCTTTCCAGTCCAGCTCCTAAAGCTGTTTTGCATCACTCTCCCTTGGCAGCTTTGCCGGTGAGGTTTTGTGGCATCCTAGCAGTGGAGGCCATGGGCTCCTCTCATGCTCTGCCTGGGAAATCTTTGTGTAAAGAGGATCTGCTGATTTATGGAAAGAGAGGCAATACTTGGGTCCCAAGGGAAAGAAATCTGAAAAAAATAGAGGCTGGGCTGGTGCTTTTTATTTCCTTTCTTGTCTGATTCCTTCTGATACACACAGTTCTATGGTAACTTCCTACTGTTGTCTTTGCTTGTGGACGTGGAAGCACCAGTTTGTTTTTCTTTTAAGTATTAACTAAAGAGTTGAGCGGTATTTTTAGGGAGGTGTAGGGCGTTGGTGGAAGAGCTGTATTTCCAGAAGCAGCCAGAGGGAGGGGGATAATATGCTTAGTGGGTACTGTGGTTTTCCGAATTCAAAGATGCTTTCTGATGTCAGCCTCGAAACCTGTGCCAAGTTTCATACATCAGCAAACAAGGCTTCCAGTGAACAAGCAAGCTGTTGTGAGTAGCAACCATTCAGCAGTAAGCAGTGGCAAGCACAAAATTAATCATATGCCAGGGTTTTTTTGCTTGTGCATTGCTGTTCTCAAATGGGAAAAATCATTCTTCCCTGCTCTGTAACTCACTGCCGCACCGTGAGACCATCTTGAAGGATCTGAGATTTCCCTTAGGTAAGGAGTGTTACAGCATTCAGAAAACAATGAAATTGTACTTCATCTGCTGCAGGAGAACTTCCTAAAGCTGTATATGTGTTTATTATTAGAAACCCTTCTTCATTAAAGGGTAAATCCCTCTTTGCCTTCAAACGGGATTTTAAGGAAGAAAATAGGATTGCTATATCGGAGTAATCCAGGAGAAGGAAAATCAATCATTCTGCATTTTTCCAAGGATTACATGCAGCAGCTCTCTTGGGGAGCTAAACCTTTTCCAAGAACGATGACTAAGCTGGTCCCTTAAGGAAACAGTGTTCTAATAACAGGGTAACTGGTATGAGATTCATAGGTGCGTGTGCTGGTTTTCAGACAGCAAAGAGCAAAAGAGCTTGCTAGGGTTTGTTGTCCAGCTTTGACCAGTGCAGGACAAGGGATGAAAAATTCGGGTTAAATCCTCATGTACAGATCTGTGAGACACAATGTCAGAAAAATCAGTGTTGGAGAGCAGAGCAATGAAGTGCAATAGCCCTGACAGCCAACGTAGTGGTAGGTCCTAGCATTTTCACCACAAGTGGAGATTTTTAGAAAGGTAAAATAGCAGAAAATTTCTAACACTAATCGGGTCAGAAAACATCACAAATTGCTGTCACTGTGTCTTAGAGGAACTCAACATGGTTCAGCCTGTTAGTCAGCTTTAGAGGGAGGAAGGGTCAGTTGTACAATGGTACAATTCTCGGTGTCCTGAAGGTAATAAGGAAAAAGGGTCTATTTGTAAGCAATTACTTATTGGCATTTTATATCTTACTTCTTGACCAAGCTTCTCTTGGCTTCTTGCAAGTCTGCATCTCCCAAAACTTTAATAATGTGGCTACTGGCATCCCACTCTGTTTTATGAGAAGAGGGTCTTGACTTCAAGGTGATTTTGATGTTGCTTAATATGTCAGAGCCTGATGGCTGAAGGCAGCAGTGTGCTGTGTGACAGACAGGTTGCTCCAAGCTATTTGCTTTAAAGGAGATGAACTCTATCTGAGCTGAAACCAGGACAGTATCACACAGTGACTTTGCAGATGTTGCAGAGATTTGCAGACTGCTTAGAAATGCAAGGCATTTGCTCTAAGACTGTCCTGGATTCTGAGATAAGCTTTCTGCAGGCAGATGATGTATGATTTCGTGTAGCCAAATCTTGGCTAACTGCCTATGAGGAGCAAAGGCAAAGCCATGCTTAGAGGAGGAGGGATTCAGCCATTGACTGGGACAGATGGGAGCTCTGGGGTCAATTGTGCCCGAGTGTCAATACAACATCATAACCAGGAGGGCTAATGTGGTTATTGAGCACAGACTGGCAGAGTGTCATGGCTAGACACTGATCTTAAAGGTAAGACTGGAAGATGTGCAACTTCTGAGGTCAGGGATAATGCCTGGAGACCAGGAAAAGTGATGGGGCAAAACTGGAGAAGATTCAAAAGAGGAAGCTTGGAAACAGTGAAAGGATCTGAAAAGTCAGTGTAATAGCAAACCTAGCCTGATTGATGGATGAAGCCCATTTCAGGAACAAGAAGCTGACAATCAAGGGAATCCTTTGGTTTAATAGAGAAAGGTCACAACCAGCAGCCAGAGTGTGTATCAGTGGTATTTGTTGGTGTGTATCACCTGGGTTGCTGCTGGGTTTGTCTGTTGAGTTTCAGCCAGTGTAGTGGGTTGACAGAAGGGTCCCTTGCCTCTGTGGGTAGACTTCTTTCACTAGGAAAGCATCTGTCCTGCATTCCAAGTCACATAGTCAGGATAGTCTTCCTAGAAAGCTTGTAGAGGGAATGGGGCTCTACTACTCATTCACTGCTCATTTGCTGTGGCACAGGCTTCAGCATTTCTGTAAAGACTCCGTAGCACAATATTTGTGAGGTGAAAAGAGGATGGAGAAATCATCCATTATGGAAGTTTTACGATTGCAAATTCCTCAATGGTAACATCTATTGCTTTGCTTATTGTGGTGGGATTTTTAAATTTTAGTCTTTGATTTCTTTTATTTTCTTTTATATTTTAGAATAGTCCTTATCAGCAGCAGAAGATCCTTCTGTAGCATATTTTCAGTGCTGCCATATCGAGACTGTACCCAAGTCGGGTATGTATATTCATACGTGTACTGCATAGTCTTTCTGGGCCTGCATGTAGACCTGATAACAGAACACAGCATGATGGAGCCTAATGCTTTTACATGTCTGCTCTGAGAAGAGATAAATGCTCTTAGGTGTATTTGCTTTGTGGACCATTACCAGGTTAAAACTACAGCTCTCAGTCCCCACTTTATTTATATGTGTTGTGATGTCTTTGATTATTAAGCTGGAGAAAACTACCCCCATGAAATCAATGTTCTTGAAAAAATGCACTTTTTATTGTTTCTTCTGGTTTCACTCATCTTTGACAAAACAAATGCTCTAGACAGCATGACTTAATTGTATTAGCCATCTTAGCTGTCTCTTTCTCCTAGGCAAATGTAGTTCTACTGTATGCAGATTTCCAGACCTATAAAGAAATGCTTGGATTTAAACAGAATACTTTTTTATTTATTACTTTAGTAACTGGTCAGATCATTCAGTCAGTGAAAGCATTATTTTGGCCATAATTTTATACAGGTTCATAGCTGTCCATGCAGCTGCCTCGCATCCCCTGATGTGCTGAGACACTGTAACTGATAGAAAAGTTCCTTTGGAATGAAGTAGCTCTCCAGAGACTGAGAAAGCTTTTAGCTCTTCCACTGAAACCACAGAAGTGGAAGAAACTGGATTTGGCTGGAGGACGTGGCCTGGCAGGCTCTGGTGGCAGCTGGGTGCAGTGCAAGGCTGGGATCGGCAGTGCTGGTGGCAGCAGCCCTGTGACCCTGGCACAGGGGGGAGTAGCATGGCCACCATGCTCGCTTGCCAGAGACCTGAGAAGTCCTTGTGGTTGACTCAGTGACTGCAGAGCACAAAATGCGTGGGAAATAAGGCAGTTGATACACTGAGGGGGGTTTGAAAGATCCACAAATCATCTACAGTAAAATCTTTCCACTGTATAAAAGACAAATTTGGCTCATACTTTCCAGCCATCTATTTAGTTGTGGAGAGTGATTTGTCACAATCTCCTTGTGCACCAGTAATTCAAAACAAAGGGAGATTATTTTTAATGCACAAAGGAAAGGAAGCACCTTTGTCAGAAGGTTGACTCTGTCTGCTCACTCTTACAGTAAATTTTTTCCCTTAATTAAACTGTGATGACACATCAGGCAAATTCTTGACAGACTGGCAGACTTGTTCTTTGTTCTTGAGTACACTGTCATTCTTTTATGGTCATCATCCTGTGGAAATTGCCTCTTTATTGAAAATTGAAAACATTTTGAAATTCTGATGACTGGTTATACCTTCTAAATTACAGCAGTAACGAGCCCAGCTGCAAAACTAAATATTATTTCAGCATGTCATGTCTTGTACTGTGCTTGCACAGCAAGAAGAGGATGGGATGAGAAGGTAGCAAGTGCCAGTACACAACAATCCAACCCTATTCCTTTGGCTAAAAAGCCAAGATTTAAAAAAATGCCCTCTGTCTTTCTTCCAGAGCATCACAGGAAGAGAGAAACAATTCAGTGGCACCTCCTTCCAGGAACAGCTGGTGCAAAGAACAGATGAGGCAGTATAGCATAAACTGTAGCCACTCTGTTCAGGCTGCACAGTGCTTGCTTACTTGCACATTTTGGATGTGAAGTAGGAGGGGGGAGAGACACTGGATACTTTTATGAGGTACTGTAATGACAGCATCCTTTAGCTTTGCTTTCTCTGAATCCCTGGATTGCTGATGTCTGTCCCCAGGTAAGATGTCCCAGCTGGTTTGTGTTCTGCAAATATCACTGAACATTTAATGAAAAGAAGCAGGTCCTTGCAGGGAGCCATGGACACATCTGAAATTTGAACTGAAGAGAGCCCTGGCAGGAGTGGGAGAGCAGGATGGATGAGCAGGCAGGAGGAAGTGTTGCATGTGAGAGGAGCACATAGTGGAGCTGCTGCTGCCTCTCCAGCTCTGCTCCAGCTCACAGGCACTGTGGCCAGTGAGGAAATCTCCAGGCACAGCTGTTTTGTGGAGGCTGTCAGCCCATGCTGTACTGGAGGCAGTGCAGAAGAGCTGTGCTCTAGCAGTGCTGGTAGATACAGTCTGCAGGAACAGATCCATTATAAAAACATGGTAAAAGGCACTTTCTGAAGTCACAACTCTATGTACCTGTCCTGTGTGGATGGGGCAGCATCACCCCTCACCAGTGAGGTGCAAGAAGTGTACTCTAGACTGCGGTCTTCAATTGCCTGCCCTGCATGCAGAGGTCAAACTATAACAGCAAGAACTCTCCCCCCCCAAAAATCTCTAAAGTGTGATTTTTAAGTGGTTGTACCCATACAAATGGAAGTATGGGGAGAGAGCCATAGATGTACATGAGGGGATGAAGTTTGAGGTGCCCCTGGAATAAGTTTCCTAAATGCTTACTTTTCTTCCTCTACCTAGACCAGCAGAGCAAGATGTAGCCAGGTGAAGGCAATGTAAGGAAAGCTTCACTGCAAGTCAGGAGCTGAAGGAGGTGCTGAGCATATCTTGGCTGCTGGCATTCCTTGCCTTACAGTACCTCTTGATGTTACAGCCCAAAGTCATCAGACCCTAGGCAGGGCTGAGTGATAGCTAAGGGGAGTGATGTAGTGATTTGAAAGCACTTGTAAGAGTGTTATTGCCTTTGTTCTTAGTTTAGCAGACACAGAGAAAGATGACCTGAATGTTTGGCTTTATGACATACAAAGTCATTGTGTGGTGCACAGGTTAGAGGCAAGTGCTGGTACTGCAGGTTTGGCTTGTGCAGTTGCCTCTCGTTTTTCAATGCATTGGAAGCCTTAATGAATAAAGGGTTCCTCTTTCTTCTTTAAATATTCCAAAAGACGTAAGATCCACTTTGTGGACGGTGTTGAAACTACCTTGGTATCCATTTCCTAACTTCCTTGCCCACAGATAAGCATTAATCCCCATCTAGTTCTGTAGATGGGCAGAAAATTGGATCCCATTTTTAGCAGAGGTGCACCTTGTGCATCCCCTGAGCTGCTGTGGCACACACCTCCTCTGCCAGAGGTTGGTTGTCACTGTGGAAGCTCACAGCAAAGTTGAGCCTCGATACTTTTCCACTTCAGGATAGGGGAAGATGCCTGAGGTCAGCAGCAGGTACTGTCCTGCCACACACACGCTCAGTACACCCTGACACATGCTGACCTGCTCTGGGCCCTCCGAGGGGATTTGTGTCATGGCAAACCAAAGAGTGAAGCCATTTGCAGATGGATTAAATAAGACTTGGAAGGAATTATTTCTTTGGAGATGGGTTCCAGATGGTTTGAGGTGAATTGGATTTCAGCCCTTTGAGACAGGAGACGGGGATCAGACACAGCAGATATTATCCTTTTAGCCATTAGGCAGCTCATGCTCTGGGCACTTGAGTCCCTAAAGAGGAGCTGTTACAGCCAGGCTCTCTGGGAACATTCCTGGGGGTTTCTCCCAGCATGGTGTGTGCAAGGGCACTCTCTGGACCCTCCATATGGCCCCAGCCAGGAAAGAAGCAGGTTCAACTCTCCCTTCTCTGGAAAAAAGCAGATATCCTGGGCAGGGGAGAAGGGAGACCAGTCTCCATTGCTCACCTGTTCTTGAAGCTTCTCTAGGCACCACTTCTCCATCAGCTTCCAAGGAGATGGTACAACTCTGGCAGTGCTCACAGGTGTTGTTGAAGTTGCTCCACGTGGCCAGCAGGATGTGTTGCCCTGCAAAAATGGTCTGCATATGCTTGCAGCCAAGTGAGAACAATCCAGTCCTCATTAGTATAGCCTAAGCAATTTCAAAAAAGGACAGTGGCAATGTTTGTTTGTCACAGTTAGAGGTGTTAAAAAGGAGGAAGAAGGTACTGTGTTGTTTTTCACCCCAAAAATAAAAGGTATTGCAGTTAGTTTACAGTTCTGACGTGTGGATTGTTTTTCATCTTTGGCACACACCATTATGCTTCATGATTTAAAAATGTGCTTTGGAAGAGGCACTTTTTAGGCTTGTTTTTATCAATGGCAAAAGCATCCACAGATTGAAATAGTACCTATTCTGATTATATTTTTTGTGATGTTGTAAGAGCTCTTTTAAGAGCTTCCAAGTTCCTGTGAAGTCCTGTCCAGAAGATGAATCTGGAGGACCTGGGGGAGGAGGAAAGCTGGCAGAGTGACACAAATGCAGCACTGCAGCCTGATTAGTCTTAGAAGAGCACTCAGACCTGGGCTCGCAGTGACTGACTGACAGCAGGGGCTGGAGGTGATGAGCTACAGGACAGAGAACTCAGAGAATCAGATAGTGCACATCCTTGTAAAGATGGCCAGTTCACCTCATCTTTTCTTCTTTGTGGCATTGAATTCATTAAGTGGTTAGAAATTTACCTGCAGCAGCATAGCTGCTGAATATTGCTGCCTTGACAAAAATATAGGTATTCATCTGACAGAACTTGCCTCCAGCTAAAGGAAATAATGCAGTATGAGTAATCAAATGGATGGAAGCCCAGGAAACAGACCATTCTTCTGAAGTAAAGCAGCAAGTCACTAGATAAAAAGAATTTGTGTCCTTCTCAGAAATGCTACTAACCAGCTTCATCCAGTTTCTAAAGATAAGTCACTGCTGAATTTAACTTCAGATTTAACTAAATGCTGGCCAGGACAATATGTTCAATGATGCCAGGAGCAAGAGGTTTTCAGTACCATCGCCCCGAATAATATCTGACTGAAATGATCAATTGCTCCACAGACCTGGCATTCCCAACAGCCTTCTTTTCCTAAACTCTGCAATCTTTGTTCATATTTAGTGTTTAAACTGGGTAAGAAAGCCATATGCAAAATGAGGCAAAAAGAGGGACTTGTGTGGTTGTCTTGCTGCCATCAGTTATTTGGCAGGTTAGTGAGTGTGGAAAACAGGGCAATATTTACAGGAGAAATGAGAGCATCTAAATTGCCATATGGATAGCAGCAATAAGCAGACAGCAAAGCAGAATACTCTGTTACATCCTTCAGATCTGTTACCGAGTTCCTTGCTGTTCTTCCCCAA